TAGAGCCCAGCGCTGTAATAACTCTGCATTTAACCAGAAGGAAATAAATCTACGTAAAGCTGATTCCTGTTTCCTGAGTGTTACTTCTTGGGGCCTTCAGATAAAAGAACCGGTTAAAGTTAAAAACATCCAAAAAAGAAAGGCAAGAACAAAAGAGAGATTTATGCACCACGTACGCTGGCTGACTCAGGAGAGGTGGAGAGGAAAGCCTTCTGTTCTCTTGGCACACCGCACAGACCATGCCAGGACATCCTCAAACCACTGCAAAGTGCCTGCACCATCACTGACATTCACAATTACACTTCAGCTACAATTTGACTGACATTTTAAAGGGCCCTTAATTAGAACATACTCCAGCACTGATTTCAGTGGCATTCCCCTTAAAAGAAACAAACAAGTCCAAGGATACTTGTATGAAACCACCAGTAGGTCAATATTTGTAATTCTGACATGAATTCTGGAAATTCCAATAAAGTTAAAGCAAAAAACCTTAAAAATAAGCTGAAGATGTTGAACTCAAGAGAAAGACTGTCATTGATGTAGACAACTGATAGCAGACTTTCCAAAGTCACATAACAACGTGTTTCCTGGTATAAGTAGTCAGTGAGCCAGAAGAGAAATCTCTTAAAAATTATTTTTTGAAATTGAGTATGCTTTAATTTCAGCAATCACTTTGCAAATAATAGATGTTTTGCAAATTGCGTATGCTATTTCTGAACAACGCTGTTCAAATGAACTTTGGATTGCTTCTTCAATTTGTTCATGTTAATGATGAATCTTCCACACAAACTGAAGTTAGTCACGGCGTTCCACAGGGCTCTGTGTTAGGTCCAGTTCTCTTCACTTAATACATACTCCCTTTAGGCAATATTATCAGGAAGCATGGCATAAATTTCCATTGCTATGCAGATGATACTCCGTTATATTTGTCTATGAAGCCAAATGAATCAGATCAGCTGGTCAAACTTCAAGCATGTCTTAAAGACATAAAGGCCTGGATGACTTGTAACTTCTTACTTCTAAACTCTGACAAAACTGAAGTTATTGTGCTTGGGCCTGAAAACCTTAGAAATCTGCTGTCTAATCATATAGTTACTTTAGATGACATAGCTCTTGCCTCCAGTACTACTGTGAGGAACCTTGGAGTCATCTTTGATCAGAATATGTCCTTTAAATCACACATAAACCAAGTCTCTAGATCTACTTTCTTTCACCTGCGCAATATTGCAAAAATCAGGAGCATCCTGTCCCAAAGTGATGCTGAAAAACTGGTCCATGCATTTGTTACTTCCAGGCTGGACTACTGTAACTCTTTACTATAAGTATATCCCAATAATTCCCTAAAAAGCCTCCAGTTAATCCAAAAGGCTGCAGCCAGAGTACTGACAGGAACTAGCAAGAGAGATCATATCTCTCCCATATTAGCTTCTCCCCACTGGCTCCCTGTAAAATTCAGAATAGAATTTAAAATCCTTCTCCTAACATACAAAGCCCTTAATGACAAGGCTCCATCATATCTTAAAGACCTCGTAGAGCCTTATCATCCTAACAGAGCACTTCGCTCTCACAGTGCAGGTTTACTTGTGGTTCCTAGAGTCCACAGAAGCAGAATGGGAGGCAGAGCCTTTAGCTATCAAACTCCTCTCCTATGGAACCAACTCCCAGTCTCAGTTCGGGAGGCGGACACCCTCTCTACCTTTAAGATTAGACTTAAGACGTTCCTTTTTGATAAAGCTTACAGTTAGGGCTGGATCAGGTGACCCTGAGCCTTCCCTTAGTTATGCTGCTATAGGCCTAGGCTGCTGGGGGCCCCATGATGCTCTGAGTTTCTTTCCCCTCCCCTCCCCTCTTTCTCTCTCTCTCCCTGTACCTTTCTGCAGGTTGCCCTGGCCCTGGAGCTCTATGTCTCTGATGAGCAGACACCAGCCACATCGACCTGATCAGTGTTTGATTGTTGTGTCTTGTTGCTTTTCTTCTTTTCTCTCTCCTCTATCCACTCACCCCAACCGGTCGAGGCAGAAGGCCGCCCACTAAGAGCCGGGGTCTGTCGGAGGTTTCTTCCGTTAAAGGGAGTTTTTCCTCCCCACTGTCACCAAGTGCTTGCTCAAGGGGGATTTGCTGGGTTTTCCCTATGTAATAATATTGATAACAGTAAGGTCTAGACCTTACTTTGTAAAGTGTCCTGAGATGACTTTTGTTGTGATTTGGCACTATACAAATAAAATCTGATTTGATTTGATTTTATTCTTGGGCTTATTTGAAGCACAAATACAGCTCTGACGAGTTCAGTGAAGCTGTATCAAACTTTTGGTGAGACAGAAAAATCCCATAAGTCCAAGTCGCATGCATGATACCTAATAAAGCCACAAGTAATGTCATGAGATCTGTGTAAATTACAGTTGGTACACTGTATAGAGTTACACTAGTAAAATGTCTTAAATATGCCTAACATGCGGCCCTGAAGTAACACGTCATCAGGGATAGACACAAAGGAGTATGCACACGTATAATGTATATACACACATATTTTCCCATAAGGCAAACATGTCTGTGACTTGTTTGTGACCTCAGCACAGACCGATCAGCTAACCATCTTCTTTCTCCAGGAACCAGCAGGACTGCTACTCAGGCTATAAGTGGTACCTTGAGGTCTTTCATTTGACTGAAATACAGCACAGGTTGATAATGATGATTTTCATTCAAGGAGAATAAAATGTACAAAAGACACTTTTTTAAACATAAAATCCATTAATTAAAAATGTGGTCTTCCTTTTGGTTATATAGCCTATAACTAATTCTATATGATTGCTTATACTGTAATTAGTAGCATGGGCATTTCTCTACAAGCTGATGCAATGAACAGAGTCTGTTTTCCACCTCCATAGCATTTGTCAGCCTTGTTTAACCAAACAGTGTATCCAGCACTTCTTATGGAGCCAAGAGAACAGAGGCTAATGATAGGGCGTCCCACCCGCCTGTTCAAAGACAAGCATTACACCACTGTTTGTGTTTTATCAGCCTCATACCATTCACTGGATTAATTTCTGGGGTCTTCTGATTTGAATGTTTCAAGTATCAATGAACGTTTTTTAATTGAAACATATATGATTTGAATTTGAAGAGACACTTCACTTAAGCATTAAGATAATTGAAAATGTTTTTGCTCTACACATCAAGATGTTATCTAACCAGTGGACCTACATGTAAAGCTCAGCTAAAGACAAATGTAAAGGAAGACAGAAAAACAGTTTCTTGTACATAGCAAATTCAAGCCAACATGGCATAGTTTAGATTTAGACTCATTTTACCCTACTAAGGATGTTGCAGGTCAAATAGTTGCAAAATATTTCCAAGCAGATCAGAGTGAGATGATAAAAAACACTATGCCTCAACCCAGCTTTGAAAGCTGGCTTCCAGTTTGTTCCAAACCACAGAAATAGCCACTGCCAAGCATACAGAAATTAAAAGATTGGGAAATAAATTAGAGACAAGGCCACTGAGGAAGGTTACACAGACATCAGACAGAAATACCAGACTTGCTCACAAATGTCACCAAAAATCCTGAAAATGACAACCTCATCACAAGACAATTTCAGCAGAAACATAATTAAGCATAAAATGCCAGTTAAATCCCCAAATCACTATAGTGACAGAGGAAGACAGACCGCTGCTGACACAGCAGGCCGCACTGCAAACTGCAGTTGTAATTGGACATATTTCACAGGCGCAAGTGAACGTCTGGATGGTCTGACCACTGCTCTAGTTCTTCCTCCATCTCTTTTTTCTGTTCTTACTCTTCCTCCTCCTTCACCAACTCTGTCCTACCTTCTCTCTCTCTCACACACACAGCTATAATTGGGGGTGTTTTTTCACTCTCAGCAGAAACCCTGAAAAGCCTTGGTCCAACCAATGTGTAATTACAGCATCTTCAGAGTCTCATCCAAGGGACACAGGGAGTTGAGAGATATGGCATGGTCTGAGACTTCTAAGAATGGAGTAAGAGACTTGGAACAAGGTGGAGTAATATGGGGGGTGTGTGTCACTGACTAAATTTGGTCAAGCCATGCAATACAATCCTAAGCATTTGTGGCAACTGGTAGAGTGGTAGATGTTACATGAAAACTAAACATTATATTGTCTCAAAACCAATGATTTAATTCAATTACAGTGGAAAGATTGGTCAGAGTATAATCTTTACAGTTACCCATGAGTGCAGATTGAAACAGAATTAATTGATTACCAAGTATTCTTTTGGCTGTTACTGTCATCATAACATCCTATTTACAACAATGGAGATTAGTACGTGGGTCGGGCCGCATATTTCTGTATGAACCTGACCCATGCCTGAGAGTGCAGTGTCCGAACCTGACCCAATCCGAGAGGCTTATAGTACAAAAATTTCCAAAGCCGACCGGAGCCTGAAGCAATTGATTTTGAAATCTTGTTCTCCTTATCAATAAACAAAGCAGGCATTTGAATGCTCCAGCCATCTAGCTTAAAGTTTGACCTATGTGTTCAAACCAGACATGGACCTGAACATAATAATTTATGCTCAAACCCAGCCTGAACCACTGGGTAATCATTGACAGCATCAATGATAAAAGTGCATGTTAATGTAATAGTACTATATTCATTTTCAGAGTTTGCATATTTATATGTTTCCGTTTCATATGGGCTCCCGTCAGGCTCAGCTTGGGTATCCACACTCTAACACGGATAAGGTCCCATCCTGATTAATAAAACCAAATGCTGTAAAATAACTGGAGTATATTACTGGCAGCTATAATGTTGAGGCATGGTGTTTACCTTGAGGATGAACTAGGTTGACAACAAAAACACATATTGAGTGAGAATAAATATTCATCTGCGGAGACAGAAAACAGGTACAGATTTGGAAACAAACACATCATCGTGGTTCAGACCAGTATAGCGCCTGAGGCTTCAGCAAAACAGGCAGACCAAGATATATCAAGTCATGACCGCTTCCATACCAGAGCCTTGATTTACACACACACAGTAAAATAAATACATAAATAATAGCATATGTTTGCCCAAACTTTTCATTGTACATATAGAAACAGATATTTTAAATAATCAGTTGTTTACATTTTGTTGTGACTCAGACCTTAGAGGAAGATTTAAAAACATCTAAACACAACCAGTGAGCAGCTTCCCTGCAGCTTCACTCTTCACCTTCAAGCTACAGCAGCTCTGTCCTCTTCTGTCATATCTCTCTTCTTGGTGAGCAGCCAAATCTCTTATGTTGCAGCTATACAAATCTACCCATGTAATACCTCATTCAACTATTACATGTACTCCTCATCTCCCGTTCTTCGCATCAAGTATCGATTCTGTACTGCAATAGAAAACCTAAACGAGGCGCCAGAAGCATCACATCTGCAATGCGGGGAAGCTGTGCTCTAAAAAATGATCCTGTATAAACCGTGTACAGAGTCAGGCCAGGCTGTTCAATGACAGCTCCATCTGAGGTTCCTTTTATTAGTGGCAATATGATGCCTGATGATGCTCTCCTCCAACAACAGAATCCAGTTATAGCTCCACTGTGTTCCCAATAACACCAAGTTCAACAGAGATAGTTTAATTCAAGGGTGATGAAGAAATACATTCAGCATGCGAGTGTGCTCCAATAGTGGGACTGTATAAAGTAAATAAAAAGTCTATAAAACAGTAAATTACCTTAAAACTTACAACCTTTCAGTAGCAAGAGGAATCTAGCGCCTACAGTACAGAGCAGATGTTGCTATCTGAGTCAGAATAACTCCAGCCAAGACAGGGAAGGAATAGCTAAACTGTGAATCACGTAGAGCCGGCAGCTCTCCAGGAGCAAGAGCCAGCTGGGGCTCCCCCCTCAACTGAGGACAGTGTGTGGTCAGACACTGCTCATTTTTATAACAGCAGTAGAGTAATTCTCTGCTAATGTGTGGTCCTACTGTGGTTTAAGAGCAGAACCTGCCCAAAAACCACCGTCCGTTTTTTTTTCTAACAAGAGGAGAGGAGGTGTAGATCTGTACATCAGCGAGACAAAAGGAGCCACTGAAATACAATACAATACAGTACAGTGTTTACAAAGTATTCACATACATGCTATTGGTACAGTATGGGATTAAATGTGAACAGATGCATGGCTGAGTCAGGTGTGCACAGGCTGCCCTGCCAGTAAGAAATAGAGTCGCTTTAGGAAGACCCTCATCCTGCTCTCCAGTAGTCTCACACATAGTATTGATAGTACAGTTAAAGAACAATCAGCAGTGATATTACACCTCGGCCTTAGAATCTAAAAGTTAAAGTAGGGCTGTTTGTCTGAGAGCTGTAAGGTGAAGATAGCATCAGAGAGAGAAAGTCAGTGAGGTGAGCAGAGGTGATTTGGCTAGAGAGAGGTCTAGAGAAGGGGCAGGAAAGAGGTTACAGGGATTCCTTTATCATCATCCTGGGCCTGAAGAAGGAACAGGGAGTAAAGGAGAATACGTGGCTGAGGGAGGAAGATAAGGCCAACAAAAAGGCTTTAATCAAAGTGCTTCTAAACAGGATGTGTATTTATTCATTTAACAATGGGATGAATGGCATAGCAATGCTACCCTTCTGAGCAACCCACAGTTTTGCAGTTTAATAACTGCACAAAGCTGGACTGAGTTAGTGCAGCTAGTAGGAGAGATTCTACTCACTTGTATGTTTTGACATTGTGCTGAGTAGCTTCTGGAAACCCGAGCATCCCGCACACAACCCGGCTGCTGTTGAGACTCCAACCCAGGTCACAAACTTGCCTCCATCTCCCAGCATGCTTCACTTCCACTACGCCCTCTGTTATTAGGCTTTTCTTCTTGGTAGCCATAATGATAGGACGAAGGCGAACTTCCTCAATTCGCACCCTACTGTAACCCTTGAGGAAGATGCACATCACATTCACTGTTACAAATCTTACAATAACAATAACTCAAAAATGCATCAGAAGTAAACTCCTGTACCTGGTAGTGGTGGTGTCTGTGGAATCTGGCAATCTCATATGAATGTCCATTTCCATTATAGCTGTATCCTGGATGCATGTGGGAGGCTATGAGGCCCTGCCACTGTGGTGCAGGGCTCCCGTTGGGCCTGACAGCTGTGGTGTGGCCTCTACCGGCTGTCTCATCGAGTCTGCGCTCAGAAGTGCACACCACCCCCAAGTCTTCAGAGTGTTTACAGTCATTCACCCCCCAACCATTGTGTTTGCAGTCCTTCAAGGACTTCTCTGAGCCATCACAGTGTACATTATCCAGCCATATTGGGCCTTGTGAAAGGATAAACAATTCATTATTTTATTTACTGTGATTTTCACAGATTGTTCAATAGACAGGCTGAACAATGGATTTATACTGTACAGAGCCTCCAATCAGCACCTAACAGCTGACTTTTACTGGCACGCTGATTTAAGGTTGCACCTTAGCGGCGTGTTTAGCATTAGATACACCGTGTTTTACAAGGCAGGGTGCTGTAGATCCTGCTCCTTGAATCCACTCAGCCTTCTCTTTAATTTAGATTTAAAAGCAGCAGTAAATAATGTCCCTAAACCACAGCAAGTGTTACACAACCCTGGCAAGCGGATGCTGTCATTATTCTAAAACAAATGCCTGTTTTTGGACCACATACCATTTACCAGCATCCCAGGCCACCTAAACAAGATATGCTATAAACTCCAATGCCATATCTTTACCACTTTATGATGTTAGTTATTAACTGGTGGTCTTTTCATGAAGCTACAGGTTTAGTGTGGGAACACTATGAAGTTTTGGAGGAGATAGGTTGGTCCAGTATGGCTCTCTACCAGTGAGGAAAAGTAGATGCACTTAAGGGAATTGGGATTTATCCAGTGGCGGGGTTATGAGACTAGTACAGCTGAATGAACTGGGTCCTTATTAATATTATTTCATTATACCTGAAGACACGTCAGGCGTGCCTTATCACTCACATGAAATCGGTTTGGCTTTGGCCTACTAAAACCTGTGACATTTGATTTTTCTGACTACCAAATGAACGTGGAACAGAAGTATTCTCACCCTCTCCTTCGCCATACTTTGCACTGTGTGCCCACGTTATGCCACCTTGGAAACCCAGCTCTCGACACACCACGTTGACGAGCTTGAGGTTCACTTCATCATCGCAGACGGTCCCCCACTTGTTGTCGTGCAGCACCTCCACGCGCCCTTCGTGCGGCTCTCGCGCAAAATTGCCCGCCAAGCGCACTTTGGCGGCCGGTGCGCGAGCCGACCTGCGCTGAGAGGACGTGGTCCGCCGAGGTTCACCAAGAGCAGGACAAGACAGGGACTGCAGCAGCAGCAGGAGGAGGAGTGCGCTCAGGCAGAGGGTGCGGGACATCGTGACGGAGAGGAGGGGCTCTGCAGGTAAAGGTTGAAACACTGCATGTGTCAGTGTGTTCCACTTCTACTATATTAGATGACCTCGCATGTTATTTTCTTCATTTAATGTTAAATTCACCCGTGGAGTCATTTAAATCCTAAAGCTAGGGCCTAATTTGACTGTAATGAAAAACAACTATTATCAATTTTAGGTGCTGTGCGTGCATAAAGACTGGGCAGTTCCATTAAACCCAGGTCAAACAGAGATCAACTAGGGAGTCCGAGAGGCCTGGTTAGTAAACGGACCAACGGTGACATCCTCTGGACAAAGTATTTCCAGTAGTCTAGTGCTCTCAAGAAATGAATGTTGTGCAGAGACAGTCACCGTTGCTGAGGTATCTCATCTGTGGACAGGATCAGAGGTACGACTTGACTTGTAATCCTACATTTGATTATAGTCACTGCTGCAGCATCAATTTTGCAGTGATGCAATGGAAGCCAAAACGCATAAAACTGATACTTTCCCTTCATATAGCCATATAATTAGATACACCAGTGCACTTCTGTATTGCAGTTTATATGAATAAACATTCCCCAAGGCTAACTAACCAGACAGAACCATGAGGCAGGTTTTAACTGAGGGTTCACAAGTGTCAAAGCCAAACAAGAAAGTAGTTGTTGAGACAGGCACTGAAACATTATATCACTGCAGGCCACAAGACAACACTGAGTGCAAAATACCCCAAATCTGTTTTTCATCTGTGAGAATAAAATTATAAAGGAAGAACCAACAACCAGAAAACATACTTTGCTGAGTAAACCCCAGTAAATCTTACTGACAGAAACTTAGCTTGTATAAAAAGTCTTATACTGTACCGTATATCCGGTGTTACCATGAACAAGTAACAAAGAACGGAATATAAAACAACAGGTAGCCTAAGTGTTTGAACTTTGGCAGTATCACTGCTTAGTGATTGTAAAAATGAATAAAACAAACAGGAAAGGAGTAAAGTAACCCATTCCTGTATCTCAACCTTTAAAACACCTGTTACACTTACATTTGGACACCTATGTATTTAAATAAATAATGTTATCAAACAAACAAATAAATACATCCATGTAAAAGGAGATGGTAAGGTGAAAGTTCACTCACCTGGCAGGCAGCAAATGTTCCCAGCAGTGGACGTCTCTGCAGGGGAGAGTGACTGAGTGAAGAAGTGTGTCTACTAAATGCACTCCTTAGTTAATCCTACCTTCTTCCCTCCTTCTTCCTATATCCCTCCCTGGCTCTCTGCCTCTGCATAATGCTGAGCAGTGTTCCTATAAAATCTCAAAATATCAACGTATGGACTCCCTCCACTGATGGAGGACTTGTCATTTTACCTTACTCTGTTTCTGTCTTTGCTGACACTTGTATAATTGTGAATGAGTACTTTTAAGCCTTTCTGAATGTGCTCTGAAATGAAACATGGGGCGGTCGTTCCTCACAGATAAATTAAGCCGAGGATGAATGTTTTAGAAATTAGTCTCTAGCAACCACAAGAGTCATCAATTTCCGGATGGGATGTTTAGTACCTTAGCAGAAATGGACTTCATACATTATAAAGCACATTTTAATTTTTAATCAATGGGTTTTCTCTGATTGTGCCTCTGATTTTCATAACTCTACACTCAGAGTTACACAACCTTAGGGTGAACGTGTAAATGTAACCAACAGGAAGGACTCTGGTTCCAGAATAGTTTGAAACATCAAGTTCCAAGTATCCTAAAGAAGCTCCCTATACCACAGGGTAGATATTTCCTTGTTGAGAAGACCACAAACCACCAACTCTAAAAAAAGGCCCAGCCTCACTGCAGCCATTGTGGATGTGTCTGATGAGAATATGCTATACCTCCTCTGCCCAGGAGTGCAGCTACTATAGTCTAACTTATCAGCATAGAGTGCATAAAGCTTTGGCTAATCAGTGTAGATCGAGATAAAAACTAAAGATAAAGTCTTGTCTATGGCTTTCTACCAGGGGTCACTTCAGTGCTGAGCCCTGATCCAATTTAGGTCTTTACGAGTTTGGAACTTGTTTAGTTTTTGAGTCATTTTGAGAAGATTTGGGACAGATTTAGCTACATGGAAAGTTTTGGCCTCGTGGTGTTGTGTTGATAAACTGTATTTCAGTTTACATGTAAACCTCAGTGGGCAGTCTTTTAAGGCAGCAAGGTTTATTCATAGAGCATGAAAAATTACAATCAGGAAGGAGGAGGTATAGGAACTCACACATCAACCACAATCATAAAAACACTTTCTTCTACCGTATGTAGATTTCCAACAGGGTGAAAAAATAATCACATAGCATGTATGTGTATATATGTGTGCACACATGTAAACGCTGAAGCTGTAATTGAGATGTTTGTGCTCGCCAGTGATGGTGTGGCTGGGTGGCAGGATGGTGGTCCCTCCCTGACTAGTAAACCCGAACAGGAAGCGCAGACCCCCTATTAGCAGAGCCAAATAAGAGGGATCTCCAAGGCTGGCAGCGAGAGGAATGAGAGGTAAGAAAAAAAGCAAAAGGAAAAGAGGGTGCTAAGGTTAAAAATATAACTATCGGTGCTGTGGGTGACATCCTTTCATTTTAACTCCTGATGCCATGCTGCATATCAGACTAATTAAACTAGACTAGACCGGGGTCCCTGTTTGTGCCAATATTTAACAGCTCAGTGGGTGTGTGTGCGTGAGTGAAAGTGTGTTAACAGGGCTCTTGGAGGGTTCACGGGGATAAGTGTATCTGAGCAAGGCAGCTCTCCGAGGCAGAGCGCTCTCTCTCCACCTCTTTAATTACACCGACCGAGCCGACTCTGCCCTAACCCACATGTGTCTGTGGAGGCATGAAATAAATACATGCCCTCCAACAATAAACAACCTGTTTCAAATGACAGCACCTCCTCATGCTCACCCCCGCTGCCGTCTCTCCAGGTCCTCATCATGCTCGTACTTTTACACTAGATAGGAGTGTGTGTGCAGGTTATAGGGCTGAGAGTGCAGTGAGCTGAACATAGAGGCTGACCACACATCTAACATTAAAGTTAGATATGTGCTAGTTTGCCTTAAACTAAAGCAGGGTTAACATTTGAATATCAGGTTAAAATGCTATAAAATAGTATTGAAATGTAAAGTGTTAACAGTTCATTCATGTATTTGCATAACCTTTAATATAGGATTGCACTTTCAAATCAAGAGAATCAAAAAAAGGTCAAAATCAAAGCAGCAAAGGCCAAGATATTTAGTCGCCATTCTCCAGTATGTCAGTCTCAAAATACTGGATCCTGCATTTCCCATGATGCAACTCAGTGCTCAGTAGCACGTCTCATTAAACTACTTCTGCCTCCTTTATAAATGTACACCCATTAAAACCCCACACCTCCAATTTGTAATGCAGATCTTTTGTTAAAATTAGTCAAAGCTGAGAAAACTGCACAGGCTGAGTAGTACTCACATTGATGAGTGAATTAGCCTTCATGTGTAAAGTCTGTGGACTGTCCTTGTAAGTTCATGTACTCTCAGTGCATGGACTGCATGTGCAGGCACCAGGCCTCAGTTCTTCTCTATTCAAAAGGGCATCTGCGGGACAATGGTTGCTTTTCCCCCACACATATTGCCAGACATGTCTCAATCTCCCACTGGTCTCGGTGGTTACAGATTCCCGGTTGCATCTTTGATTCTGCCCCCTCCCCCCCAAGACACCACCCTGCCCTGCTTTGATTTACTTCTTCAGAGGTTTGAGCATCAGGATTGACTTACGGCGACATCTTGGTGCCCAGAGATCCAAAAAGATCAATGTAGATGCATTGCATGGTCTGGTTAAGTTTGTGACACCTTTCGGTCAAACACCGCCTCCATGTGGAAGGAAGGGAAAACTACACAACACTGTATACTGGATATCAGACGTTTTCCCCATTGTGCCATTCATCATGAATAGTCTCAAACAAGTGGTGTAAGTGGTCTAGATACATTTATTACAAGCTTTTTTGTGCAAAAAAGTAAATATACAGCAAGGATTAAAAGAGTTTCAGGGCTCTGATTATCAATGTATACTTGATTAAAAAAAGCATTTTTCTAAAATAGTTTGAAACAGGGTACTAAAACAAAAGCATCATTGAAACCAAGGGATCTCTTTTGTCACATCTGATATATCCTTGACATTAAAATACGCTTTGGCAACATCCAATGCATAAGTCTGTGAAATAAAATTTATCCTACCTGTAGTTACCAGCACATCAAATAACAAAACAAGATGATTAAATCACTAAGTTCAGTCTTAGGGTTTGGTGGCCAGTTCTGTTTTCTACATACCAAGGCAGAAAGTAATACAAGAAAACCGGTAGCGCAGCGTGTCACCATGTTCTTAGTAAAAGGTTCTTATTAATGCTCGTCTCTTAGTCACAAATAAACAGAAGAGGGACTTTAAAGAAAACATTAATTGAACTTAATGTTGAAAAGCCTAAAGAGCTAGTAAATGAAAAGCTGAATTCAGCTCCTAAAGCGTGTTGTTAAAACAAAACAAAACGTATAAATAAAATAATAAATACTCTCAGTATGTGAAGCCTAGTTGACTAGTGAACGTAGTGTGGGTGTAAACAGGGTGTTGTCGCTGTAATTGTTGTCTAATGAATGAGACAGACACATCCCAGTAGGTTGTATTGCACCGTCTAGTGTTGAATTTTGTGAAACAATGTGGTTGATTTCACTGCAGTGCCATCAGTTGAAGCATTCTTTGGTTCACTGAAATACTGAATTGGAAACCATAAGGTCAAAAATACTTGTTTTCATGGTTCAAAAGCTCTAAGTGGATACTTATAAATGTGGCCATGAATGTGGGAGCATACATGACTCAACATAAATTTTTGTCAGGCACTAGTTTATAAATGACATCCTCATGCTTGTCATAGACATTAACAACCTACAAAAATGGTCTACTTATGCCAGAGGTGGTGGGTTTAGCGCTTCATCAACTCAGCACTTTTGTTTTGCATAGGCAGAGCCCCACGCTGTCTTCTAGGCATATGTACCAAGAAAGCACAATGCCTTTTCTAATGCCGACATAAAAACCTAAGGCTATTCCTTTGAAAAGGGTACAGAGATACAGAGACCAATGCCTCAACCAGTCCCCTGTTAGTCCACAGGAACTGAAGCACTTCACAACTGAAATATTATGCACAAAAACAAAATGGCCTCAAAATAACCATAAAGTTAAACTATGTCTCTCTGACATAGTCTTGCCAAACTGAACACTACAGCCTTCAAAAAGTATTATGCTACTAGACGATACTCTTCCATGCCTTACAAGAATTGCTTAGGACAATGAGTTCTCCATAACTTAACAGACAAGTGGTGTGAAGATTCAAGCTTTCAATAAAAAGGCAGCCAATAAGTACATTAAATGAAATATAAACCTAACCCATGCTTAAATACATCTTATTCTGAAATCCCTCACATCCAAGTTGCAGCTTTTACTGCATGTCCCACATATGATCGTGTAGCACAGTATAAAGACACCTCTTAGCAGGCGATGAGCTAAAAGAGCCTCATCTGAACAAATAGTCCGTTTTCTTAGATAATACACATGGTCTATAATTCTTTGGTCTAATGGACAATGTGCTGATATTGGCACAGGGGCCCAATATCAGCACATTGGAACCCTAGTAAATACGGCCAAAGAAGATTCCTCGCCCCCCCCCCCCCAACTGTGAACCAAGGCAGTTTCACTTCCTCCTTATGGTGAAGGCCTGGGAGGTTAGGAGACAAGTCACCATGTGTCATGAGGGGCTGCAAATATTAAGATTTTCATCCAACACAAAGAATACACATACACCAGGTGACTTTGTTGCTCCCTTCTGGTTAATGTTGTACAATATCATTCAGTATAGTCTTCGGATGAAAATAAAAAGCTTCATACTCCCAGTCCTTTGTGGCACATGTGACTATCCCAGCATTAAAGCCTGACTAATGGCTCAGATCCTTTGACTACTCTCGTCCCTTCTGCCACAGTAATTCTGCCAGAGAACCTGGTCCAGTAAGTACAGGCTTCTTTGGCTCAGTCTGTGCATCCCAGCTTCCTGCACACTGAGGTCAAGGCTGCCATGGCTTCCTGTCCTTGCCTTTCTGTTCAGGAATGTGTTTGTAGCGACATTTGTCCCCAAAATGGCAGCCGGTAGTTCTCCAGAAGTAACACTCATCTCCGTTCACCGGGCCGCGTCGTCGAGGTCTGGACAAAAAGAAAGAAAGGAAAGCCATAAAAGGAAAAAGAAAGAGAAAGCACATCAAGTATAAAAGCACTTAAAATCATGCTATTGCATGATTTCAGTGACCTAGAGAATTTCTACAGTGGGGATTCTTACCCAGCAGCTGCCCCTGCCTGCTGGCTAACAGGTGGACAGCTCTTAAGTAAAATGGGAGGGACCCTCTGAGTACGACGGTCAGGATAGCGCACCACTAAACGCGTGTTCTCAACACAATAACCCTGTGCAAAGAAGCATACATACAACTCTATGTCCATAGCCATAAACACACAGAAACACCGACTTTTTTCCATAATACAGTCCCCTTTGAAAATAAACAACCAATTAATTACTCACATTTAGTTTCTCCATGGCGTGAGCTGCCATGTCTGCATTTTTGAAGTTAACAAAGGCACAGAATCTCTCGTGCAGCACACGGATGCTCTCTATCTCACCGTACCTACAACACAAAGCAAACACATGTCAGAGACAAGTCAGTAACTGCTTTGGTTAAATATTAGATTTTCATGTTTCTGCCTGTGCATCTGCTCAAATAGAAACATTGTGCTGATTTCAATGCATAAATAGTGTTAGTGTCAAATATACTTGGACCTTACATTTTAAAAAGGTCCCATAAGTGTTTCTCAGTTAGCTCAGTTGTCACATTTCCTACCCACAGAGATGGGCAAGGACTTCTGGAGAAAACAGAAAGAGAGAAGATGTGATGGAAAGCAATTCAAACTAAGAGTTCACATACATAATTTGTTGATACTACTCAATAGAACACTTAAGGTGCAATAACCTATAAAGAGAGACGTGCCAACTAAGGTGAATGAAATCAGTTTCAAGAGAGGCTACTAATCCTTCTCATCCCAAGCTTTCATTGGACAAATAAAGTAACATACCCTGGTTGTACAACTGATGGATCTTGGCTCCCAGCTGCAAAAAAAAAGTTTCATCAATAGAATATATAGAAAAAATGGAAGCGTGATTTAAGTATATAACCTGTTCTATACAGTACTGCTCCAGTGTTAACAAAAAAATTCAGGCACTGCTTTTAAAATATGTATATGGGATCTTACTCCTGGCAGCATCAGAGCAAGCTGCCAGAACAGCCTGCACAGTTGAATATTTCTCCAGCAGCTGGACACTTTGCAGTTCTTCAAAACCAAGCTCCTGAGTAAAGAACAGAGACAAGAGATGCAAGGAAAGCTCAAATCAGAATGACACATTCAACAACTGCTTCTAAAAATGGAAGACTCACAGGAAGCTCTGGTTATTTACATTCACAGCTACAGAGATTACAGGAAACAACTGTGCTTGCAGGTGTGTTTACCATTAACTGCAGCACTTTACAGTTGAAGAGGTCAGTGACAGCCTCCTCACAGTCTTTGTCCAGCTTCAGCACCTGCTCCATGGCCTTCTCTGCTTCACTGTATCGCTGTAACACCCACAAAAAATGAAGAAGCAAAGGCTAATCTTACCACAAAGGCTCAAGCGTGAAGCTATTTAAATGATATTTCTTTGATTACATGCTACATCCCATGACCACAATAGCCTGCACTCGCCTTCATGCCCATAAGAGCACTGCCCTTGCGAAAGTATCCTTTCGGCCAGTCTGGGGCTAAATGAATGGAGCGTTCAGCATCTGCCAGAGCTTGAGGGTACTGCTCCAAGCAGTAAAAGCAATAGGAACGATTCCCAAAGAACCTACAAGATGTAATTTAAAAAACTAAATGCAAAAGGATAATGTTTTAAATATGTTTAAAGTGCATGTACTTCCTTAGTAATGCATTACTCATGACCACAAATGATGTACCTGTTATCCTTTGGATCACATTTGATGGCTTCTGTAAACATACTAACTGCTTGTGCATACTGCCCCTCTTGCACCAGCTTTATCCCTTTTTCTGCAAGAAAGGAAAAAATGCTTGTAAATAACTTTCTGGTAGGCCAGAAGCTCAAGGGCTCAACTGAATGCAGTGGAGCACACCGGCATGCTTGTACAAAGGAACGCGTAATCCATAATTTCCCTGAAGGCTTTGTTTCTGTTTCAGTGAATAACCTATTAAAAGGCTGGTTAGCTGCAATGCATAAATCATTCCCTACCTGTCAGTGATGTGCTTTTCTTGGTTATGCTGTCAGTTCCATTTGTCTGCAAAATAAAAAAAAACATTTTCATCAGTTCATATTATATACATGTGGCTAAAAGTGTTATCTTCCACTTCAAATATAAAAATACAAAAATTTCTCTCAAGCTGACAAAAGTGCGTCTACTGTTCTCTTAAAGAGACATGCTGCTTTTACTTTCAACATTTTTATTTTATAACACATTTTAAACATGGCATGGGCAAAAAAATTGGAATCAAACTCATAGCAGGTCACTTCAGAACGGTCCAATATTTTCTCCTGTTGTTTGTGTTTTTAGATGCACGTTATGGGTCATTATCCTGTTGAAGAGGCCGTGACCTGCGACTGAGACGGAGCTCTGACACTGGGTAGTTTGTTTCTCTCCAGAATGCCTCAATAATTGCCATTAAAACACCACCAAAACATAACTGAGTCTCCTCTGTGTGAGCCGATGTGACTTAGCAAAAAGCCAAGCGGTCCGCAGTCCATTTTTGCACACATCGGACTGTGGGATCTGCCACATGAACACACTACAGCCACAAGAAAAACACTGTCCCATTAAGACCGGAGACCTTAGTTATACCTACTACTCTTACATTATGTATTAGCATTCATTCACCTCTCTCCTGGCTTCATTCTCCTTGTTTTCTTTGGACTTGCGACTTGATCCTTTGGGTCTGATATGGCTAGCAGCATTAGCAACGAAGGCACTGCACACATCCCACTCTGGCTCCTGTGGAACACAAAGTCAGACACTGGTGTTCAGCCATGTGCCATCCAGGTCTACGATCACACAGGCTTTCATTTCAAATGGACAAGACACCAACTTGATTCAGCTCGTTACATTGTAGATTTTTGGTGGAGCTGAAACCTGTGTACTATGAGCACAGATGGCTAATGACTAAAAATGATAGCAACAGAGGAGTCATAGTACATAACAGCATAGTGCACTTACCTCTTCAGTGGATCTGGCTTGGCACTTCAGATGTCCTTTGATTCCTGAGGGAGCCAGTACTGGAGTGTCAGCGTACCCGTATGAGGCAGCTGATTTTGCTTCCTTTTTATCCTCTTTTTGCAGTCGTTGTTGCTCCTCTTCGGCACCAACTTCTGCTTCAGACTCACTCTCATCCAGCTCAGACTCTGCACCACCATCCTCATCTTCATCACCCTAATGCATCAGAGCATATACTGTAAATGGACAAGTGGATTACTTATAAATGATATTAGTGATCATCTACCAGTATTTGTGGTTTATGAGGGCCAGTATAGAAAAGAGAGGCCAAAAACAAATCTTTTCTATAGGAGGGTGATGAACGAATATGCTGTAAGGAGGCTAAAAGAGGATTTCATGGGGCAAAACTGGGAATCAGTTTACAGAGAGGAAGACTTAGATAAAGCATATGAGCAATTTTTAAATATATTTAAGAAAGTATATGACAGGAACTGTCCTCGTAAGCAGTATAAAAACAAGAGGAATTACAGTGGGAAACCGTGGAT